TGCTACGCACAGGTGTGTGCGAATGATTTGTTAAACAGCAATTAACCTAATTCCCGCTTTTAATCACCTGTCTTTGTCCTAATTTAAAACTTTTTTCGAAGCCACCCCCCCCCTCCGCCGACTGTTTCTAAGCTAGACCTTTTCGTTACTTCGAATTTAAATAATTGTCTATCTATTCGTTATGGCATCAGTCATAATTTTTTAGTACTTTTGTTCGAATTTTGAATTACCTAACCAATATAATAAAAAAATTAAAGATTTTTGCAGATGATAAATCTTTCCCTACTATTCAAAATTAACAATGTTCAGGGTGAAGATTTAACAACCACAGATTAGCAGTATTTGAAAAAATTCAAACACTTTTGACTTTTGTACTTCAATTCTAATTAAAATTATTTAATCGATTGATACCTTTACATGAATTATTACGTTTGACTATTTTTTTTGTACAAGCTTCCAAACGACTTGTAACATTCAAGTGTTGTCCCAGATAAATCATAATTTAAAACTCCTTTGCCAGTGCAGCAATATACATTAGATCTGCATTTTTGTAAACTGTTTTTACAGCTGCAGTTGTGACAGATTTTATTTCAGAAGATACAGGGTTTCTAATACAGCTCTTGAATTGTTCTAATTGCTTATTATAATTTTTTATCTTTGCGCAAAAAAAAACATATTGCACGTTGATGTATAAATTACGTTAAAATAATTTCTTTAATATACCTGTTTACAATTTCTGCCCTTATTTTTTCCCTCGAAAATTCTAACCTCTTATCATCTAGAAGCAATTCTGCTTGATGGTCTGCTGTCAATTCCAAATTTAATAATCTGAGAATCCCATCCTTAACCGGAGTAGGACCAGTATCTAATATTAGTTCTTCTTTAAACTTTAAAGTGATCAACTACATCACAATTTTATAATAATTTTCATACGAAGTAAAATCCTCAACTAAAATATTTAATTCAGGAGTACATCAGGCCAGTTACTAGTTTTCAAATAAGTTTTATTACATGGCACTATAATGTTTTTTTTTATACGGAAGATTTATAACATTCTGCACAACTAGTAGATTAGGCTTCACAACAGCACAACAAACCAATAATAAAGATGATAGTTTAGTGTGTTTCAACAAAATTTTTTAAATAAATTTAGTAATAGTCTTGCTTCAAAATTATCTTGTTCTGTTATATATTGTCTTTATTTTGTCTCATAGTTCATAGAAAAAAGAATCAAGTTATACCTACATAATTTTGACGATAGAAAAAAATGGTAATAAGTATTGATAAACAAGATGATATCAATATAACTCTTGACTCTTTTAAGGCCCTAGTAATACAGTAGTGAAATCGTAACTTTTCATTAAATGAAAAAACGTATAATCCAAAATAAATAACATTTAAGGAAACATAACTGAGACTAATTTATAAAATTTATGATCTC